GGCCGAGGAAAGGGCCCTCTTGTCTACCTGGTGGCTGAGCTTCTCCTCGGCTGACGCAGTTGATTTTTGTCAGACGTCACATGGGCTCCAAGGATCTTCACGCTCTGCCCTTCAGAGAGCTCCAACCACACACCACTTCCGACACCTCCTGCTACCATTCTCCCAAATGTGTTCCTTCCAAGTCCCTGACCATCTATCTGGCCAAGCTAGGAGCAAAACTGATCACGAGTGGGTGGAACTGGTAGCTCTGGCCTCTCCTTCCAGGCGAAGGGAAAACAGCCAGGGGCCCTGCTCGGAGTTCTGCCCGCTGGGAGTGCCTCCCTTCACCATCGGTGCTCAGCAGGGCTGAGCTCTGTGGCCATCCGTGTGTGTCCCGCAGAAGCATCTGTAAGCTGGGACTGGACTTTTCTTCCGCAATGATCAAGGTGCAGGGTTTGTCTCACGAAGCCACAGGTGCTGGCTGGGAGAATAACCGCAGAACAGCAGGAGTCGGCACCGTGGTTGCTCGAGCCCCTTTTTCACGTAACTTGCTTGTGCCTTCAGGGCCTGCCTGAGCCCGGGGTTGTATACGCTGCTTCCACTTGAAGACAGAACACAGCTGTGCACGCCCAACTCCGTGTTCACACGGTCCAGCAACATCCCGCTCGTGATGTACAGTTCTGGCCACATGGTGACTTGGTGGCCTGCAGTTACGTGTCCAGACTCTATGGAGGCCTGGAGACAATCCACAGAGTTGTCCACAGAGGATAGCAGAGCTTGACTCCAAAATCCTAAGGGACCTGGGCTGGGCTTCACCTGCAGGAGCCTGCCACGGCCCCCACACAGCATCCTTATCTGCCACGGACACCTCCAGTGCTGTGGCATCTGCCGGTCGCGTGGCTCCAGTGGCTCAGCAGCTTTCATTTCCACTTGTGGCAGAGCCTTCCCTTGTTCTGGGACTCACAGAAAGCAGACAGCATTTTAGGCCATTCCTCCATGGGTCAGGATATCACAGCTGAGCTGCCTCCAAGATCCAAAGACACCCGTGAGGCACTGTGCTTCCTCTTAGGTAGAAGGAAGGATCAGAGGTAGATCACAGCATGCCCCAGACCACTGGACCCCCAGCAGTTTCGTCAAAGGCTCAGGCCCCTGCCCCGGTTTTTGTGGGATTCATTCCCCACCTCCCAGCACAAACCACGTTATCAAGTTGTCCTTGAGTCAATGCCAGTTCCGCTCAGCACATTTGCTCACAAGTTCTGCACCAAGATCAGTTCCATCATCAGTGTGATGGGTCAGCCGATGGTTGTGGAAGGGAAAGCTGGCCAAGGTCGCTGTGGGCTGGATTACGGCATAGAGCTGATATACTCTATCCCAGAACAGGACGGTGCACATGTATTGTTGCCCTTATCAGCTGAAAGCACCAGCTTTTGGTGGCCTTTACTCACAGGTATCAAGGAATCGAAAGCGTTCACTGGATCACGGCTGATAAGCTGCACGTCATTAATATAAAGGGCTCTACTTCGTAAAAGACACTTAAAGGAATGAAAGGACAAGCCACAGACTGGGAGAAAATCTTTGCAAAACATGTATCTAATAAAGGACTTGCCTCTAAAGTAGTCAAAGAACTCTTTTTTTTTTTTTTTTTTTGAGACGGAGTTTCGCTCTTGTTACCCAGGCTGGAGTGCAATGGCGCGATCTCGGCTCCCGCAACCTCCGCCTCCTGGGTTCAGGCAATTCTCCTGCCTCAGCCTCCTGAGTAGCTGGGATTACAGGCACTCGCCACCATGCCCAGCTAATTTTTTGTATTTTTAGTAGAGACGGGGTTTCACCATGTTGACCAGGATGGTCTCGATCTCTTGACTTCATGATCCACCTGCCGCGGCCTCCCAAAGTGCTGGGATTACAGGCGTGAGCCACCGTGCCTGGCCCTCAAAGAACTCTTAAACTCAACAACAAAAAACAAACAGCTGAATGTAGAAATAGGAAAAGTTATGAACAGACACCTCACCAAAGGAGGTATACAGATGGCAAATAAGCTCATGAGAAGAGGTTTCATATCACATGTTATTAGAGTATTTCAAATTAAAACAATGAGATACCTATAAGAATGGCCAAAATCCAAAACACTGACATCAACAAATGGTGGCAAGAGCATGGAGCAACAGGAACTCTGTCACAGCGGGTGGAAATGCAACATGAGACAGCCATTTTGGAGGACAGTTTGGTGATTTCTTGCGAAGCCAAACATGGTCTTAGCACACAATCCGGCAATCCAGGAAGCACAGTGCCTCGTGGGTGTCTTTGGATCTTGGAGGCAGCTCAGATGTGATATCCTGATCCACGCGGGGGTGACCTAATTAGTGGTGGTTTCTTACAAAGGCAGACAGTCTTACCATGCAATGCAGCCTTGGGCGTTTACCCAGAGAAGCTAAAAACGTGTGTCCACCCAAGAACCTTCACGCTGATCTTTGTACAGCTTTATGTATAATCGTCAAAACTTGGAAGCAACCATGAAGTTCTTCAATAGGTGAATGGATAAACAAGGTCTAGTATATGCAAGCAATGGAATATTATTCAGAGAGAAGAGAAATGAACTATCGTGCCGTGAAAAGATGTGGAGGAAACTTAAGTGTGTGTCGCTAAGTGAAAGTAGCCAATCTGTTGGGAGGCTGAGGCGGGTGGATCACGAGGTCAGGAGATCGAGACCATCCTGGTCAACATGGTGAAACCCCATCTCTACTAAAAATTACAAAAAATTAGCTGGGCATGGTGGCGCGTGCCTGTAATCCCGGCTACTCGGGAGGCTGAGGCAGGAGAACTGCCTGAACCCAGGAGGCGGAGGTTGCGGTGAGCTGAGATTGCGCCATTGCGCTCCAGCCTGGGTAACAAGAGCGAAACTCCGTCTCAAAAAAAAAAAAAAAAAAAGAAAGAAAGTAGCCAATCTGAAGTCTCCCTGCCTTTTCGGATTGTCTAACTTCCACTGTGTGACATTTTGGACAAGGCAGAGCTATGCAGGCAGTGAAAAGATCACTGGTTTTCCCGGACTTAGTGGGGAGGGAGAGGAGAATAAATGGAGCACAGATGGATTTTAGGGCAGTGAAATAATTCTGCATGGCACTATAACAGTGGACACACGCCATTACGCATTTGCCCAAACCCATAGAACGTACAACACCAGGAGGGAACCCTCATGTAACCTGATCAATGACCGGATCAATACTGGCTCATGAGTTGTAAAGACGTAAACACTAATTCAAGATATTGATGATGGGGAAACTGTGTGTAGGGAGACGTGCTTCATGAGAACTCGCAAATCTGCTCAATTTCTCTGTAAACCTCAAACTTCTCTAAGAAATAGAATCTATTTTAAAAATCAAAGCTTCCGCCAGATCAGTGTCTGTACACCAGGTGTGTGGGGATGCTGCGATTTCCCCCCGTGATCAGCACTCACATCTGAAACAGCAGCTGCAGTTGGAGTCCTGGCTAAGTTTACCAGAATTCACTGTCCTTCTTTCTCCAGGACCCCCCGTCTTCTGCACAAACCACTTAGACAAGTGGAATGGGGCTGTGGTGGGGGTCACCACCCAGCATCTGCCACGTCCTCAGTGGCAGCGCTGACCTCTGTGGTCCCTCCAGGGTTGCGCATTGCTTTTGACTGACAATTTTCCCACCCCAGTGGCTTCCACTTGGCCTTTCCCACCATAGTAGCCCCCACCCCCCAGATCAGGGGACAAATGTGCGGACTCCGTTGGCTGCCACATATCTGTTTACTGACCCGTCACAGGCTGGGGAAGTGACCTCTGCACCCACCAACAGTTGGACCTGAGCTAGAACTCCGTGGGCAACCCGGCCTCCACATGCCCTTCCTCTGACTATTAGATCTGAGGGATGTTTGTGTCTCCAGGAGTGGGTGGCAGGTTCTAGCCAGTGTCCAGTTGTCCCTCTGAGTCTGATCATCCTCCTTTCCAAACTAGCGACCCCAGCAAATGGCTGCAGGTCCCTGGGGGGGAGAGGGGAGTCAGGAGCAATGTAAACTTGCAGGCGTGTGGCAGGTCCTTCCTAGGGGAAGGCTGGGCCCCCACTGCACTTTCCCTCCCATCCTGGGATCCTTGGCCTCTCCCCAAAGCGGAGGGGGGGGGACGCTGCTGGCAACTGGTGACCCAGAGAGCATGGGCTGGAGGGATGGCCCTGAGTAGGCCATACAGCCATCCTGAAAGCCATCACCAGGACACAGGGGGCCCTGCAGTGAGAGTGTCAGTGTGGGGACAGGCCAGCAGACCCCAAGCCACCCCCTGAGGCTTCTTCTCATGTGAGTACCACCGGCGGGCTGTGGGCTCCTGCCTGGGCCCTGGCCTCTAGCCCCATCCCACTTCTCACCTGCATGGCCCCCAGCATTGCCCAAACTCACCGCCCTCACTCCCAAGTTCACAGTGGTGTCTCATCCAGACAGGTGAAACTACACCTGGTCTACACCTGGGGACCTACACTCGGGGTTGGGAGGCTGGTGAAGTCTAGTATGGGGGGGCACCACCTACCTCTCTTCTTCGTCTCACTGCCTTGAAACCCCCCACATCTATCACCACTGCCCCTGAGGCTCCCCAGTTTGCCCCATGCCAGCCTCAGCTCAACTGAGCCTGTGCCTCTGGCCAGCCCTGCTGGGGTTCCCAGGGCCTCTGCCCTCTCCACTGAAGTCCACCGTCTCTAAACATACTCCACGTCGGGGGCGGTGTGTGACTCACTGCTTCCCAGAGCCAGCCCAGAGCTGTGCAGTAGACGTGAGGTGAATGAATGAATGAACAAATGGATGGGTGAGTGCGGGGAACTGTGTCAGTTAGCTCTGGCTGCCATTAGGAAGCACCCAGGGCTGGGCATGTAAACAGCAGGTGCTTATTTCTTGCAGTTCAGGAAACTGGGAGTCCAATATCAAGGTGCCACTGGTTCCAGTCTTGGTGAGGGCGCTCTTCCTGGCTTGCAGATGACCGCCTTCTCTGTGTCTTCATAGAGCCTTCCCTTAGTGCATGAAGGGGGGAGAGAGACAGAGAGAGAGAGAGAGAGTGAGAGAGTGAGAGAGTGAGAGAGAGAGAGTGAGAGAGAGAGAGAGTGAGAGAGAGAGAGACAGAGAGAGAGAGAGAGAGAGAGGAGAGGAGGGAGCTCCTAAATGTCTCTTCGTATAGGGACACTAATCCTACGGGACCAGGGACCTTCATCTCCTCGTCTGTCCCGAATACCTCCCAGATATCCACTCCCTAATGCCACAGAATTGGGGGGCAGGGCTTCAGCCTATGAACTCTGCAGGAACTTGATTCTGTCCGTATGGACGCTGACATGGAGCCCGTCTCCTAAAGCCTTCTCTCCCCATTCCTCACTCTGCTTAAAGGTCCTCTGCAACTTCACACCCCTCCCAAGGGGCCCTGCACCTGTCCCAGAGAGAGGGCTGCCTGGCAAGAGGCTGGGCCTTGCTCCTTGAGCCTCGGGGTCTGGCCTGAATGGGGATGGGTGTCCACTTCTAGGTTCCTGAGAGAGGCGACGCCGAAGCTTTAAAAGTGCCAGGAGCTCACTGCAGTCACTGGTCAGGGACTCTTCTCTTCATGAAGGGCTAAATAAAGCACGTTGGCCGCTAGGAACGGGGCTGGAAGCTTCTGCCCTGCAGGCTGCCTAGTCTGCACAGGGAGTGTGGGGACCTTTAGGAGGAGGGTCTGGTGTGCACTTTTTGGCCAGCCTGCCTTTCCCCCATCCCCAGCCCTGCCCAGCCCTGGGGGGGTCACTCTGAAGACATCCGACTTTTACCCTGGGCACCTCCTGCCCCTGTCCCACTCCTCTACCCCCACAGGGTGCTGAGTCTCAGCCGGGCTTCAGTGGCCCAGACAGGACAGCAGGTTTGGTGGTGCCCGGCCCCACATGCTAGTGTGTGGCTCAGCATGGATGTGGATGGAGATGCCTCGCCTACAGTCTGTCCCCGGCATCTGTGATGCAGGTGTTGGGTCCCTTAGACTCCCCTGGAAGGCAGCCATGTCCATGCAGGGACGCCATCCCTGGGTCCCCTCTGCCTCTACTGAGGGCAGGGCCTAGGCTCCCAGGATGGGAGCAGGGAAAAGCAGGGTGCCCATCACTGCCCTCTGGGGTTGGGCAGTGGGGGCAGCAGTCCACGGCACTGAAAGGGAAGGCCCAGGCAACCGTGCCCCAGAACCTCCCTGGTGGGAGCAGAGCAGCACCCAGACCCCAGACCCCTGTTTGAGTATGGGCTTGGCTCTCAGGGGACAGGCCAGGAGGCGTCCAGGGAAAGGGGGCTGCCTGGGCAGTGAGGGTTCAGAGGTCCCTTTGGGCTCACCCAGCTGACCTAGGCCTAGGGCGATCAGGAAGGGGAGCTGCCCTTCTCCTCCCTGGGCTCAGGAGAGGCTGCAAAGACAGCTCCCTCGATGCATCTGTGCTGTGGGGACAATTTCAGAATCGGGGAAAAGACAGAGAGGAACCAAATTCAGGCGCTTGTGTGGCCTCCACAGGTCTCTTCAGGCTCCAGGCCCTACTCCCTGTGACACAGATGGGAAGCTCTTGAGTGCCTCCCTGATGGGAGGGGCTGTGCTCACAGACAGCTCAGGGGCCCTCCAGGCTCCAAGCCACCTCCAAGCCAGGCTGCTCACAGGTCCGTGGCTCGGGAGGGCAGAGGCTGCCACCTCCTGGCCTTAGGACACAGTTTCCCAGGAAGAGGACTGCTTCTAAGTAAGAGCCCTGCCCAGCCAGATAGCCAGGGGCAACTGTGCAGGTAAACCCAGGCAGCAGCCACAGGCGAGCCAGTGAGGAGCTGGGTCATCCAGCTTCAGGAGCGGTGGCAGGTGGAACGAGGACCCATGGTGGAGGGCTGGGCAGCTGTGGGTGGCATTGAGGGGCCAGGGGCCTGCTGGTGGGGAAGGATGTTGTAGAGCAAGCAGGGACACCTGGGAACCAGTTCACAGGAAGGAGAGAGGAAAAGGAAGTCTCTGGAAGCTAAACACTGTCACATACACCTGCACACATACCCACGCCTGCACACACATCCACTCCTACACACATCCACTCCTGCACACACATCCACTCCTACACACACATCACACACATCCACTCCTACACACACATCACACACATCCACTCCTACACACACATCCACTCCTGCACACACATCACACACATCCACTCCTACACACACATCCACTCCTACACACACATCACACACATCCACTCCTACACACACATCACACACATCCACTCCTACACACACATCACACACATCCACTCCTACACACCCATCCACTCCTGCACACACATCACACACATCCACTCCTACACACACATCCACTCCTACACACACATCCACTCCTACACACACATCACACACATCCACTCCTACACACACATCACACACATCCACTCCTACACACACATCCACTCCTGCACACACATCACACACATCCACTCCTACACACACATCCACTCCTACACACACATCCACTCCTACACACACATCACACACATCCACTCCTACACACACATCCACTCCTACACACACATCACACACATCCACTCCTACACACACATCCACTCCTGCACACACATCACACACATCCACTCCTACACACACATCCACTCCTGCACACACATCACACACATCCACTCCTACACACACATCCACTCCTGCACACACATCACACACATCCACTCCTACACACACATCCACTCCTGCACACACATCACACACATCCACTCCTACACACATCACACACATCCACTCCTACACACACATCCACTCCTGCACACACATCACACACATCCACTCCTACACACACATCCACTCCTGCACACACATCACACACATCCACTCCTACACACACATCCACTCCTACACACACATCACACACATCCACTCCTACACACACATCACACACATCCACTCCTACACACACATCACACACATCCACTCCTACACACCCATCCACCTCCTTCACACACATCACACACATCCACTCCTACACACACATCCACTCCTACACACACATCCACTCCTACACACACATCACACACATCCACTCCTACACACACATCACACACATCCACTCCTACACACACATCCACTCCTGCACACACATCACACACATCCACTCCTACACACACATCCACTCCTACACACACATCCACTCCTACACACACATCACACACATCCACTCCTACACACACATCCACTCCTGCACACACATCACACACATCCACTCCTACACACACATCCACTCCTGCACACACATCACACACATCCACTCCTACACACACATCCACTCCTGCACACACATCACACACATCCACTCCTACACACACATCCACTCCTACACACACATCACAAACATCCACTCCTGCACACACATCACACTCATCCACTCCTACACACATCCACTCCTACACACACATCCACTCCTGCACACACATCCACTCCACACACATCACACACATCCACTCCTACACACATCACACACATCCACTCCTACACACACATCACACACATCCACTCCACACACATCACACACATCCACTCCTACACACACATCACACACATCCACTCCTACACACATCACACACATCCACTCCTGCACACACATCCACTCCACACACATCACACACATCCACTCCTACACACACATCCACTCCTACACACACATCACGCACATCCACTCCTACACACACATCCACTCCTGCACACACATCACACACATCGACTCCTACACACACATCACACACATCCACTCCTACACACACATCCACTCCTGCACACACATCCACTCCTACACACACATCCACTCCTACACACACATCACACACATCCACTCCTACACACACATCCACTCCTGCACACACATCACACACATCCACTCCTACACACACATCCACTCCTACACACACATCACACACATCCACTCCTACACACACATCCACTCCTACACACACATCCACTCCTGCACACACATCCACTCCACACACATCACACACATCCACTCCTGCACACACATCCACTCCACACACATCACACACATCCACTCCTACACACATCACACACATCCACTCCTACACACACATCACACACATCCACTCCACACACATCACACACATCCACTCCTACACACACATCACACACATCCACTCCTACACACATCACACACATCCACTCCTGCACACACATCCACTCCACACACATCACACACATCCACTCCTACACACACATCCACTCCTACACACACATCACACACATCCACTCCTACACACACATCCACTCCTGCACACACATCACACACATCCACTCCTACACACACATCCACTCCTGCACACACATCACACACATCCACTCCTACACACACATCCACTCCTGCACACACATCCACTCCTACACACACATCACACACATCCACTCCTACACACACATCCACTCCTGCACACACATCCACTCCTACACACACATCACACACATCCACTCCTACACACACATCCACTCCTGCACACACATCCACTCCTACACACACATCCACTCCTGCACACACATCCACTCCACACACACATCACACACATCCACTCCTACACACACATCACACACATCCACTCTTACACACACATCACACACATCCACTCCTACACACACATCCACTCCACACACACATCACACACATCCACTCCTACACACACATCACACACATCCACTCCTACACACACATCACACACATCCACTCCTACACACACATCCACTCCACACACACATCACACACATCCACTCCTACACACACATCACACACATCCACTCCTACACACACATCCACTCCTACACACACATCCACTCCTGCACACACATCACACACATCCACTCCTACACACACACATCCACTCCTGCACACACATCACACACATCCACTCCTACACACACATCCACTCCTACATCCACTCCTACACACACATCCACTCCTGCACACACATCCACTCCTGCACACACATCCACTCCTACACACACATCACACACATCCACTCCTACACACACATCCACTCCTACACACACATCCACTCCTACACACACATCACACACATCCACTCCTACATCCACTCCTACACACACATCCACTCCTACACACACATCCACTCCTGCACACACATCACACACATCCACTCCTACACACACATCACACACACCCACTCCTACACACACATCCACTCCTACATCCACTCCTACACACACATCCACTCCTACACACACATCACACACATCCACTCCTACACACACATCCACTCCTACACACACATCACACACATCCACTCCTGCACACACATCCACTCCTACACACACATCCACTCCTACACACACATCCACTCCTACACACACATCACACACATCCACTCCTGCACACACATCCACTCCTACACACACATCCACTCCTACACACACATCCACTCCTGCACACACATCCACTCCTACACGCACATCCACTCCTACATGCAGTCCTACACACACATCCACTCCTACACACACATCCACTCCTACACACACATCCACTCCTGCACACACATCCACTCCTACACACACATCACACACATCCACTCCTACATCCACTCCTACACACACATCACACACATCCACTCCTACACACACATCCACTCCTACACACACATCCACTCCTAACACACATCCACTCCTACACACACATCCACTCCTACATCCACTCCTACACACACATCCACTCCTACACATACATCCACTCCTGCACACACATCCACTCCTACACACACATCCACTCCTACACACACATCACACACATCCACTCCTATATCCACTCCTACACACACATCACACACATCCACTCCTACACACACATCCACTCCTACACACACATCCACTCCTGCACACACATCCACTCCTGCACACACATCCACTCCTACACACACATCACACACATCCACTCCTACATCCACTCCTACACACACATCACACACATCCACTCCTACACACACATCCACTCCTACACACACATCCACTCCTACACACACATCCACTCCTGCACACACATCACACACATCCACTCCTACATCCACTCCTACACACCTCCACTCCTGCACACACATCCACTCCTGCACACACATCCACTCCTACACACACATCCACTCCTGCACACACATCCACTCCTACACACACATCCACTCCTACACACACATCACACACATCCACTCCTACATCCACTCCTACGCACCTCCACTCCTGCACACACATCCACTCCTGCACACACATCCACTCCTACACACACATCCACTCCTACACACACATCCACTCCTACACACACATCACACACATCCACTCCTACATCCACTCCTACACACCTCCACTCCTGCACACACATCCACTCCTGCACACACATCCACTCCTACACACACATCCACTCCTGCACACACATCACACACATCCACTCCTACACACACATCCACTCCTGAACACATTCACTCCTACACACACATCCACTCCTACACACACATCCACTCCTGAACACATTCACTCCTGCACACACATCCACTCCTACACACGCATCCACCCCAGATCTCTTCCCTGGAAATAAATCGAGGGACCCCTCGGCAGACTTGCAGTGTGGCCCGACCCTTAGGACAGGCTCCTTGGTGCGGTGGGGTGGGCAGCTGTCCTCCTGTGTCAATCCCTTGCGCCTGAACCAGCTGGTGTAAGGGCCTGTCAGGCTCCAAGCGGCAGCACCACCTCTAGAGCAGGTGGCTAGGGGTGTGTGAGAGCCGGCGGCAACCTGCACAGTGGCTTCCCCTCAAGCCACTTATTCTTGAAGAGGGGGTGTCAGGGTGGATGGGTGTGGTCAGCAAAGGGCATTGGGTTTCCACTGGCTCCCTGCCCCCACTGGTGGGGCACAGGGAGGGGGGCTGTGGTCTGACCTGGTCTCTGGAGGGCTGGCCCGGGGATTCTGTCCACCAGACGGGAGTTTTGATACCACTTTGAGATGACAAGTGAGGCCACCTGGGCACAGTGCTGGTGTGAGAAGGTGCCCACCAGGGCGGGTCAAGAGCCCAGGCCCACCCTGCTCCAAAATTCTTCATACCTGGCAAAGAGGCACCCCAGGAGGGCGTGGTGTTTCAGGCCCAGCTCACAGGCTCCAGGGCGGCCAAGGATGGAGACAGACAATTCCAGGGATGAGCTGGATATAGCCAAGAGCATCTTCCCGGGAGAGGCCAAGCTGGCCACTTGCACAGCCCGGGGGCCTCCTGACCCTGGACCTGGTACCTTCACTCTTGCTGCCACCCCTAGATTCATACCTGCACCCCAACCTGAGCCATGCCTAGGCCTCCAGCTAAAGTGATGCTATGGGTGCCAGGCGTCTGAGGTCTACACAAGCCCCCTCAGACTCGGGACGGGAATTCCTGGGGGCCAGAGCTACCAAGGGTGCTGTCTGGGGGTGCTGGGCGATGCGGGAGGGAGGAGGAGGCCTGGGCAGTTCCTCCAGCAGCTCCCGACAGGCGGCAGCGCACCCACCCTCCCATAGCCACTTGGGATCCCCCCACCATGAGGTCCTGACCAAATGCAGAAGGGAGGGGGCGGCAGAGGTGGGAGGGCTAGCAGAGCCACCTGTCAGCACCGCCGTGGAGCGCCCCGAGTGGTCCCTGCACAGGATTCACCGGGAGCATTTTCACCCTCTCCAGGCCCACCCTCGCCCAGAGGCCACGAAAACCCTGCCTGAACTGGGGCCTGCAGCGGGGCCCCCACCACGTGTAATTACAAACTTGAGGTTGTCAAAGCCTCCCTGGAGGCCACGCGTGGCTGTGAGAGAGGACCCAGCCTACCCCGTGGCCCAGGAAGGCTCTGCATCAAAGACCAGGACCTCAAAACAAGCTGTCACTGGGCATTTCAAATGCACTATTGAGAGCACCTCAATAGCTGTGTTCCGAGACCTGTCTCCAAATTCCCCCGACGATCACGCCCCCAAGGCCCACTCCACGCTTGCACACCCCCTGTTCGGGGAGCTCACCTCTCCTCTCTGGGCGTGTCTCCTCGTATCCCACACTCAGCCCTGCTCGTGACTTTCTGCTCTCAGCGCCGTCCTCAGTGGCCACACCAGGAATGAGGCCGTGTCCTCCTGGCTTCGAAGGGCCTCAGGTGTCAGCAAATGCCCTGGCGTCTTGGGCCGGGCTGGGGGCAGCAGGGTGAGGTGGGGTGAGGAGGCCGACCTCACTGCCACTCCCTTTCCTGCCTGCCCTTCTTCCGGGGCACCCAGCAGCTCCGTCCTAGGGCCCTATTGACAGACAGACAGGGGGTGGATGCAGCCTACCTCCTGGGCCAGCAGCTGTGGTCTGAGGCCCCTGCCCAGCTGGAAACCACAGGGAGGGGAGGGGAAGGGAGGGGAGGGGAGGGGGGAGGGAAGGGGAAGGGAAGGGAGAAGAGAAGAGGAGGGGAGGGGAAGGGAAGGGAGGAGAGAAGAGGAGGGGAGGGGAGGGGAAGGGAGGAGAGAAGAGGAGGGGAGGAGAGGGGAAGGGAGGAGAGAAGAGGAGGGGAGCTGCCATGGGGCCTTGGAGTCGAGTCAGGGTTGCCAAATGCCAGATGCTGGTCACCTGCTTCTTTGTCTTGGTAATAGGGCAGGAGTGGGTGGTGGGTGGGGGTGAGCAGGGGTGACGCCTGCTCCCCAGGCCTCCAGCACTGGGGCTACCCCTCCCCTCACACACGTTCCGGCCCTACGGTCCCCTTCCTGCCCTTGTAGACATGTGCCTGGGGCTTCTGGTGGCAGACCGTGGGAAGGCAGTGACCGCTGTGGGCAGCCCATCTCTCCTCCTGAGGGGCAGTGCAGGGCCTGGAGGAGGCCTGAGGCAGGGCAAGGCCTGGGCGAGCTGGGCTTGGGGGCACTGGCTGCCGAATGCCAGGGATCTTCTTCCCTTCCTGCCCGGGTGGGTGTTGGCATGAGGTGGGGCCCACTCCCACTCCAGACAGAATGACTGGAGGTCCTGGGTGCCTAGGGAAGCCGGGCTGTGAGTGCCCGCCTGGCCATGTGTGGGTGCCCGAGAGTGTGCTGAGGCATCTGCGGTGAAGGCCCCCGAGACCATTCCACAGAGACCCCAGGAAACCCTGCGGCTGAGCCTGTCTCTCATGGGACCAGGGAGCTGGAGAGAGCCCCAGACCTGCCTCCCGGGCTGAGGGCCTCCCTTCCAGGGCCACACTCTGACGCTGCCCTGTCTGCAGCTGCTGGGCCTCTCTGTGGCCACCACGGTGGCTCTCACCTCCTTTGGGGCCCACTTTGCTGTCATCCGCCAAGCGTCCCTGGAGAAGAACCCATACCAGGCTGTGCACCGATGGGGTAAGCGAGATCCGGGCCTGGCTGTGTCGGGAGGGGCTTCGGGTGCCAGGGACTGGTGGGAACCCAGCTGGGCGTGAGGTCTCACAGTCGGAATGGTGCCAGGCCCTGGGCAGGCGCCAGGGTGGTCAGGGGCTGCCCTGGAGTTCTCGCTCCCCAGGACAGAGCCTGGGGTCTTGGTGACAGCCGGTGTTCCTGCCTGGCTCTCGTGCCCCACAGGAGCATGGGCACAGTGTGGGTATATGTTGGGCAAGGTCAGGACTTGGTGGCTCTGTGCAGTCAGGGCTCAATTCCAGGCAGGCGCCCCCGGGACTGGCCTGGGGCCGGGCTCAGCAGGTCCACAGAAAGGGCTCCACGCCGGCTGATGTTCCACTCAGCTCCTGGGATGGGGTGGCGAGGGGGTGGCGGCTGCTCTAGCCGGATGCCTCCCTGCAGAGACTCAGCAGTGACTTATCCAACACCCAGAGAGCAGGAAGGAGGGCTCGCTGGGCCACTCAGGGGTGAGGCCGAGGAAGGCGCCTTTCATGAGGGGATGCGGGAGCCGGATCTGTGGAGGACTCTCAGACAGGAGCTCGGGAGGCCCAGGAGGGCTGCAGCCCAGTTGGCAGATGTGGGGAAACTGAGGCCCAGAAGGTCAGCGCTGCTGCCTCAGAACCCACAGCTTTTCCCCAAGTCCTAGGACCAGGGCTTCCCTGGAGGAGGACACCTAGGGCCAGGGTCCAGGTCTGGACTGATAAGATTACAGCTCCACTCCGGCCACTTGTCACTGGGGTATGGCGGGGAGCATCTGGCTTCAAAGATAGCCCCACAGGCAGGGAGGGCAAGGAGGGAAATAGGGAAGGAGGGGCAGTCCCCTAGGCTGAATGAGTCCCACCTCTCTCTTCCTTCCCTCAAGGCCCTGTCTGATGGAGCCCCCAGAAGTCCAGCACGGTCCCTGACTCCCAAGTCAGATGGGGCCCTGACTGGACTCCAAGGTCCCATGGCGGCCCCTCCCCTCCCCTCCCCTCTCCTCCCCTGCCCTCCTCTCCTCTCCCCTCCCTTCCCCTCCTATCCCCTCCTCTCCCCTCCCCTCCCCTCCTATCCCCTTCCCTCCCCTGCTCTCGTCTCCTCCCCTGCTCTCCTCTCCCCTTCCTTCCCCTCCCCTCCCGTGCTCTCCCCTCCTCTCCCCTCCCCTCCCCTCCTCTCCTCTCCCCTCCCCTCCTCTCCCCTCCCCTGCTCTCCTCTCCCCTCCCCTCTCCTTCCCTCCCCTCCCCTGCTCTCCTCTCCCCTCCCTTCCCCTCCTATCCCCTCCTCTCCCCTCCCCTCCCCTCCTATCCTCTTCCCTCCCCTTTCTCCCCTCCCGTCTGTTCCTTGTGGTTTCCAGCTTGGCAGGGCCTCAGACCGCAGCTGCCCGCCCAGGAGATAGGCTGCATCCGCCCCTCTGTCTATTAACGTGGCCCTGGGACCCAGCTGCTGGGTGCCCTAGAAGCAAGTTAGATTCCAGACCCAGGCTGTGTGCACTCAGGACCTGTCCTGGGAACCCCTAACCCTCCTCCTCTCTCCTCCCAACCAGCCTTGTCTGTGGGGTTGAGCCTAGTGGGCCTCCTGACTCTGGGAGCCGTGCTGAGTGCTGCAGCCACCGTGAGGGAGGCCCAGGGTCTCATGGCCGGGGTGAGTTCACTGTGTTCTGAGATGCCCCAGTACCCCTTCAAGAGCTGGCAGGGCTATGCCTCACCCCCTCACCTGAGTGTCCAGGCAGAAACAGAGGCCCCAGGGATGCTCGTCAGCAAAGACCCCCAACCTGGATCGCCAAGGCCCCTCCACCAGGCCCTCCCTCACCCTGTCATCCACATGCCCAATGAGGGTTCCCACAGGAGCCCTGAAAGAGAGAGATGGCCTGGCCAGGTGCGGTGACTCATGCCTGTAATCCCAGCACTTTGGGAGGCCAAGGCGGGTAGGATCCCATGAGGTCAGGAGTTCGAGACCAGCCTGGCCAATATGGTGAAACCCCGTCTCTACTAAAAATACAAAAATTAGCTGGGCATGGTGGCGCATGCCTGTAATCTCAGCTACTCAGGAGGCTGAGGCAGGAGAATCGCTTGAACCCAGGAAATGGAGGTTGCAGTGAGCTGAGATCACACCACTGCACTCTAGTCTGGGCAACAAGAATGAAACTCCATCTCAAAAATAGAGAGAGAGAGTGCGCCTCTCTGGGAGCTGTTTCCAAAGTCCCCGGGAGGGTCTGGTTCTATTACCCAGCAAGCTCTGGGAGGTGCCGGGTGCAACCCATTTCCTGTTTGCAGGAGGCCAGGCAAGGCAAGAGCAGTGCCTCTCGCTACGCTCTCCAGCTGGGTTCTCTTGAGCGGCACGCCCTCCTTTCCAGCTGCTGGAGGGGTCTCCGAAGCCCTAAGGCCCCACAGGCCCCTCTACCCCACCCCCACAGCCATGACCCCTGTCACCCCACTCCTACCCCTCCCCATAGGCTCTGTCCTGGTCCCTGCCCCACCCCCACAGCCATGGCCCCTGTCACCCCACTCCTACCCCTCCCCATAGGCTCTGTCCTGGTCCCTGCCCCACCCCCACAGCCATGGCCCCTGTCACCCCACTCCTACCCCTCCCCATAGGCTCTGTCCTGGTCCTTGCCCCACCCCCACAGCCATGGCCCCTGTCACCCCACTCCTACCCCTCCCCATAGGCTCTGTCCTGGTCCCTGCCCCACCCCCACAGCCATGGCCCCTGTCACCCCACTCCTACCCCTCCCCATAGGCTCTGTCCTGGTCCCTGCCCCACCCCCACAGCCATGGCCCCTGTCACCCCACTCCTACCCCTCCCCATAGGCTCTGTCCTGGTCCCTGCCCCACCCCCACAGCCATGGCCCCTGTCACCCCACTCCTACCCCTCCCCATCGGCTCTGTCCTGGTCCCTGCCCCACCCCCACAGCCATGGCCCCTGTCACCCCACTCCTACCCCTCCCCATAGGCTCTGTCCTGGTCCCTGCCAGCCCTCGATGGTCATACCAGACCCCACCTGGCAGCAGCCTCCCCACACCCATCCGGCCCCTGCTAGGCCTGGCGCCCTCCTCTCACCCCATCTGGGCCAGCTCCTCCCTGGCACCCTCAGCTCCCCCCTCTCCCTCTAGCCTCCCATCTTCCCATCCCAACCATGAAGAGTATGCGCTGGGGGCTTTGTTTCCCTGTTTAGCCTGTGAAGCTGGACCACTCTGGGGGTCTCTGAGGGCAGAGCCCCCTGGGTCCCCAGGGCTGGCAGGGTTTTCAGCTCAGCCACCAAGTTCAGCAATGCTTGTTGAATGACCCCTGGTTCATCAATGCCTCCAAGGATAGGAATCTAGTCACCTCCTGGAGCTGCTGCTCAGGCCAACTGGCCCCGGGCAGGCCCACGGGGAGCAGAGGAGGAGCCAGCAGCTCCAGCACAAGCCAGGATTCCCACTCCGGGGCACGGGAGCGTGGGCAGGGACAGCACCGGCCCTTGGCGGGCACCAAAATCCCGGGCTCCAGGGCCACGTGGGAGACCCCAGTGGGAAGACGACAGGGCAGGTAGACTGTTCCCCAGAGGGTGTGTGGCCTGCAAAGGGACAGCTGGATGTAAGGCAAGGCTGGCAACAGGGCCAGACCAAGGGATCCAGGTCAGAGCTGGGGCTGCAGCACTGTCCACCAGGGGGCGCCATGGTGCTGGGCTTGAGGCCATACCTGCAGAAGCCAGCGCTGGGCTGGGGGCTCTTGTCTCTGTCACCACCTTTCTGACCCCACCTTGTCCCCCCCGTGCACAAACCAGCCTAGCACCCTGATCTGTAACCGAGACGGTCAGGGAGCACCTGGCTCGAGTTCTGTGTCCCTAGCCAGCTTCAAGGCAGGGTGACTTGATATGTGGGTCAGGTTTGTAGAGCTGCCCGGGAGGCCCCAGCTGGACGTTTGCACTGGGCCGGGGTCCTGAGGACACTCCAGTACAAGCTGGGTAGGTTCCAGCTCACCCCAAACCCCAGTGCACTCAGCCCTGGCCTGAATGGTGAGCTCAGCATGGCCACAGCAGGGGACAGGGAGACCCCAGCCAAGAGACTTGCCCCGTTGAGCTGCATGCAGGTGTGTACATGAACGTGAGCCCATGTGTATGCGTGTGCATGTACATGTGTATGCGCAGGTGCCTGTGTGTGTGCATGAGTGGGTGTGGATGAGTGTGTGTGTGCCCATGAGTGTGTGCATGAGTATGTACAGATGCCTGTGTGCAGGTGTGTGAGGGTGTGTGCATGTGCAGGTGCCTGTGTGTGTACATGTGTGTGCATGAGTGTGTGTGCAGATGCGTGTGTGCGTGAGTGTGTGCATGTGTATGTGTGTGCGCATGTGCAGGTGCCTGTATGCATGTGTGTGTGCATGAGTGTGTGTGCAGATGCGTGTGTGCGTGAGTGTGTGCGCCCGAGTGTGTGCATGTATATGTGTGTGCGCATGTGCAGGTGCCTGTATGCATGTGTGTGTGCATGAGTGTGTGCGTGTGCCTGTACAAGTGACTGCACGTGTGCATGAGTGTGTGGGTGCAGGTACCTGTGTGTTCATGCATGTGCGTGTGCATGAGTGTGTGTTCCAGTGTGTGCACGTGTGCATATGCAGGTGCCTGTGTGTGCACATGAGTGTGCGTGAGTGTGTAGGTGCACATGCCTCTGTATGTGTGTGCACATGAGTGTGTGCATGTGCAGGTGTATCTGTGTGTGCGTGTGTGTATGAGTGTGTTCATGATTGTGTGTGCAGGTGCCTCTGTGCGGGTGTTGTGTGCATGTGTGCATGCGTGTGTGCATGTGCAGGTGCTTGTGTGTGTGTATCTGTTGCCGGTCTTTGCCTGCCCTGTTGCCATATGGGTGTGGTGGCTGCATGTTGCATCTGGCACATCTGTATGTGTGTCTGCATGCATGAGCACAAGTGAAGGGGCTAGGCATGGGGAGCAGGGAGCGGAAAGATTGTTTTCCAACGTTCTGGGCGCCTGGCTTCTCCCCACAAAGCTCCTTCCTGCCGGCCCCCACCCCTAGGGCCTCTCCTCTAGCTGGCCTCTCACACAGGAAATGAAAGAGTTTGCTGGGCTGAGAGAGCAGAGCTGGCAGCGCGGCCCAAGGAAGCACGTTCTATTCGCTTGTGGGTCTATTTCCATTTAGAACGAAGGGAAAGAAAACGGCCAGGGCAGACCTGACCATGCAGCAGCCTCTGAGGGCCAAGGCCTCCCGGAGGTCTGGGTGGGCCCATCCACTGCCCAAGATCCTCTCTGCAGGGGTGGAGTGGGGAGAGGGAGGGAGGGAGGGAGGGAGAGAGAGAGAGAGAGAGGATTGACCGTGGATGCTCTTTCTCCTGAGGAGTGAAATGGTTTCTGGAAAATGCTGCTCTCCTGAGCTGGCTCCGGGCCTCAAGCCTGGGAGGCAGCATTGAGTGATAGCTTCCAGATGGGAATGGTGGCCCTCAGCCAGCGAGGAGGAGGGTGATGATGATGAAGAAGGAGGAGGGAGGAGAAGAAGGAGGGAGAAAGAGGGAGAAGAAAGAGGAGGAAAAGGAGGGAGAAGGGAGAGAAGGCAGAGGGAGGGGGACAAGGGAGAGGGAGGGGGAGGAGGGAAGAGGAGGGAGGAGGAGGGAAGACAAGGGAGGAGAAAGAGGGGGAAGGAGGAGAAAAGAGAAAGGAGGGAAAAAGGTGAGAAGGAGGGTGGAGGGAGGAGGAGGAAGAGGAGGAAGGAGGAGAGCAGCAGAGAGGAGGAGGCAGCTCCCAGGCCATCCCCCATCAGGCCTTGCAGCCTCCAGGGCAGGCGGGAGGGCCATGGGGAGCTGCCAGCGCCAGCTTGTGTTTGGGGCCGGCAGGACACCCCAGCTCTTCCCACACCCCTCTTGCCCAGCTTCCCCTGGCATGCCCCTCACTGCTGCCTGCCTGCCAGCATGTGTGGGTCTCTCTATTCCAAGGGTGCCCGTGCTCCTGCCGTCACCCTGAATGGAGCTCCCGGGTTGAAAGGGCCCAGCCCCAACCTGCCCTAGGCTGTGGACCACCCAAGCGGGCACAGTGTTGCCTGCAGGACATGCATGCCAGGGTGGAGGGGCTGGTGTGTCACCAGGGCCTCAGGGTCCCTGGGGAAGCTGCCTGGACAGCAGCTAGACTCACCATCCAGTCCTCTGGGTCCTCAGGGCACCAGCACGAAGGTGAAGGAGGCCGAGCAGGCCCTGGTGACAGGACATCCCCAAGGTTCTTACCCTGGGGTGCCCTCTGCGGCCATCCACAGACTGTATGGGGACACATGGATCGGTCAGGGAAGGGGTCTCTCATGTTCCTCAGGTGCTGCAAGGGGGCCAAGGGGGCTCTCAACAGCCTGGAAGCCCTGACCGAGAGAATAACTGGGCCAGTGCCCGGGGCTGCGGAGCAGGGGTTTCTGCCAGAGAATGCCTGACCCCACGACCGGGGGCAGGGGCGTCAGTGAGGGAAAGGGGACAGTGGTTGGCCGGGCCATGAGGACCCAGGCAGAGTATGGAGAGCAAGGGAGGTGAGGAAGGCGGGCTCACCTGCCAGGATGGAGGCCACAGCATCCTGGACAGCCTCTGCCTCTGTCCCAAGCCTCGGTGGTGCTGGGCTTTAGCGGGAGGCTTGCTTCACAACAGAAGGCAAGACAGGAGCCTCAGGCCCAGGGGAGGCTCTGCCTGGCCCTGCCCAGATCCACACCCCCAGGAAGCAACCCCAGTGGGCAGGGGTCTCCATCTTCCCAGAGGCACCCTGCTCCTCCCAGCCAGGGGAGTGGTGCTGCCATCAACAGACCCTTGGGGGCCAAAATGGGAGAACAAGGGACAAATTTTCCTGAAAAGCGCCTGAAAGAGGGATGGAAAGGTGCTGGGGAACCCACGTGCCCAGCACCCACGCCCTCCCCAGGCCAGGTCTCTCTTTCAGGCAGTGGGGAGCAGGGCTCAGACCCACACCTCAGCCAAGCACCCCACAAGGGGGCACAACCTCAGAGCACTGCTCTGCCCAGGCCTGCCGGGCCCCACAGTGAATGGCCAGACGCCCAGAGTGACCAGCCACCTGCAGTGACCATCCCCCCACAGTGATGCCCCCCTGCAGGGACCATCCCCCCACAGTGAGCCCTCTCAGTGACCATCCCCCCACAGTGACCAGGCCCCTGCAGTAACCAGCCCCCTGCAGTGACCTTTCCCCCACAGTGACCCCCCTGCAGTGACCATCCCCCCATAGTGACCCCCTCAGTGACCATCCCCCACAGTGACCCCCCTCAGTGACCATCCCCCCACAGTGACCATCCCCCACAGTGACCCCCCTCAGTGACCATCCCCCACAGTGACCCCCCTCAGTGACCATCCCCCCACAGTGACCAGCCCCCACAGTGACCATCCCCCCACAGTGATTCCCCCCTCAGTGACCATCCCCCCACAGTGACCCCCCTCAGTGACCATCCCCCACAGTGACCCCCCTCAGTGACCATCCCCCCACAGTGACCAGCCCCCACAGTGACCATCCCCCCACAGTGATTCCCCCCTCAGTGACCATCCCCCCACAGTGACCCCCCTCAGTGACCATACCCCCACAGTGACCAGCCCCTGCAGTGACCATCCCCCCACAGTGATCACCCCCCAATAGTGACTGGCCCCACACAGTGACCAGCCCTCACAGTGACCAGCCCCACTCTGCCCCCAGGGCTTCCTGTGCTTCGCCCTGGCGTTCTGCACACAGGTGCAGGTGGCCTTCTGGAGACTCCACAGCCCCACCCAGGTGAGCGCCAGCTGCCCTCACCCTGCAGTGAAGGGCCCCCCAGCAAGCCAGTGGGCCCCTGAGGACTGGGGAGCAATGGTGTGGGGGGCAGCTTCAGCTTCCGTACTTGTGCTGACGGGTGGGGTGGGGGGACCACAACCTGGGATCTCTGCCTGAGGCAGGGAGGCCACGGGCTGGAGGTGGGTGAAGTACAGGACTCCCTGGTGGGAAGAGGCCTATGCTGTGCCCATGCCTTGCCCCAGTCTCATTTCCTTGAAGCCCCTCAGCCCACCCCCTCCTGGGCTGATGCCCCTGGGGTTTGGGGGAGGAAATGAGGAGGAGGAAGAAGGAAGGGCCCCGGCTTGGCTTTAGGGGCTCACTGGAAGGAACAGAGTGATCCAGGGCCCAAGCTCCTGATGGAGACCTAGTGGGACAGACATGCCATGGGGAAGGGGCCTGGAGACCCACAGGCTGCGGTGTCGCAGCCTCCTCACCACCCTCCGTCCTGGCTGCTGACCTGCCTGGAGGAGGGGCTGACCTAGCTGACCCTGGGCAGGGGCCAAGGGCATCCCTGTGGAAAGGTCAGCAGCTTGGAGAGGAAGGAGGATCTCTGGCCCAGCAGAGAAAGAGAGCTCGGTGGCAGAGTCAGCCCTACCTTCCACTTAAGAGCCCAGACCCGGTGAGAGCTCCTACAGCAGCCCGGGTACTGCCAGGACAGCCACAGGCAGGGTCATCGGCGGGGGCAGGAAAGCCTGGCAGGTCACAAGAGGTGATGTCTTGGAGCCCCTGCTGGAGTCCCAGTGGCCTCGTGTATTCAAGTGCCAGGTTGCCCAGGGCCCCCAAACACGGGCTTGGCCATGGGAGCTGCGAGGCTGGTGGCAGACAGGTCCCCTGGCCGAGCTCTGCAGGCATCTGTTATGCAGGTGGGCTCTGCGGGGCATCTTCTGTGCAGGTGCTGGAACTGCATTGGCAGCCTGAGTGTGGTGGTTCCCATGTGGTTTGCAGATGGGGGGACTCAGGCCCTCCCGGGGTGGGGGAAGCTGAAGGTTACCCTGGCAGTACCAGGGCTGCAGGGGGCTACAGGCTTATCATAAAGGCCCGTGGCCCGGAACCATGGCCTCTTCTCCCTTTCCTGCCCACGGCTGGCTCCAAAGTGTTCCCCTACCCCCAGCATCATTTTGGATGAACTCTTTTCTCAGGCCTAGAAGGCTCCCAGAGGGGCTGAGCCCCCAGAAGAGTGTTGTGCCTTGAGGACTGGCCCAGTAGTCTTGTTGGGAGAGCTGGGCCAGGTCCGTGTTTTGGCCTCAGGTTTCCTGTCCACTGAGAGGGGGTCTGCTTCATTTGAGGTCTGGGTCACAGTGTGGGTGGCCAAGGTCAAGACGGCTGCCAGGGTGCCCGGGCTTGTCGGGGGCAGCTGCAGCCTGTGCCCCGTGCTTCTCTGTTTATGGCTCTGACCCAGGGGCCACAGTGCTGGAGGAAAGGGGGCCGTGCAGGGGGCACAGTACAGAACACAGCTGGGGCCTGCTCCCCGGGAAGGGAAGGAAGGGAAAGGGGTGCAAAACGACAGACGCCCCTGCTGGGCTGGCCTCTGGCCCGTCCCAGTCCCAGGCAGAATCCACACACACATTGCCTTTGTCTGGCCCGTGGGCCCAGCTGGCCTTCAGGGGTCAGTTCTCAGGGCCTTGCTTGACCCCATACAGGGGACTGGGGCTTCCTCCTGGGCCTCTGGCCTCTGGTCTCTGGGCCCTATCTGCCTCTCCCAGTGGGTTCTGACTATTGGAATGGTCTGTGTCAGGCCTGATGGGCATGGGGGTGGCCTAGCCCCCCGAAGGAGCTCTGAATTTGAAGTCAGGCTCCTTGGGGCACCCTGGGGCAAGCCACTTAATCTTCCTGGGCCTCAGTTTCCTTTTCTGTGAAGGGAGTGCCAAGATCCAGGGACTGCAGCCGGGTGTGTGCAAAGACTCTTCCATGTCCCCTGCACGCCCCCTGCCATGCCCCATTGCCCAGCCTGGTCTTGCAGGACATGGGACTCACTCGGAGCTGTCCTGGGCGTGGACGGCGTAGCTTTGGTGCCAAGGCCTGGGCCCTGAGCAGGACAGGTGGCTGCCTATCCCATCTTCTGCCCTCCACCCTCAGGTCCCACCAGAGCCAAACGGGCTTCCTCCTTGGGCTTCCTGTCCTGCTGGCAGCCCAGACAGTGGCAAAGGCCAAAGGGCCCAGGTTGTTGGCACTAGCCCGGCCCCACCCCCTTCCCCCTGCACCACCCCCCCCACGGGGCCCCTGAGGTGTCCGGAACCCAAGGTCCAATAACTCATGGGGTGGCCCTGCAGATGCGAAGGCAGAGGACAGAGGAGGAAAGGGGTCGGCCACGTGCCCTCGGCGGTGCCCTGTGGCCACAGACCCTGGCCCAGGGCTGAGAGTGGGGTGCCCCTCCCCATCCCATCCCTGCCCCAGAAAGTCCCAGCAGCCACTTCCTGCGATGCTCGTGTGGGCAGCAGGCGAAGGCTGGGCGGCCGGGATGAAGTGGAGCTTGAGGGCTATTAATTACCTTCCCCAGGCCTGGGCCACTTTGCCGCAACCCTCCCCTGCCCACAGATGAGTCTGCATCGGGAAAATGGATGGCCCAGCACCCTCTAATAATTCAGGCTCCAATTAAGTCGGGCAGTGGGGGCTGCAGCCTCATCGTCCAGGTCTGGCCCCACCCCGGAGCCACCCGCTTCCTGGATCCTCCAGCAGCCCAGTGGGCTCAGGCCAGAGCCGGTCCTGGACCCGTGTGGCAGGTCCACAGGCCTCCGGCAAATCCTTCCCCACCCCCCGCAGGGCCTGCCTGAGCACGTTCAGCAGACACGGGATGGGGTCATCCAGCCCAGGCAGATACCAGGGACCATCTGGTCATGGGGATAAGCTGCAGTGGGAAACCCCCGACCTCAGGCCTCAGCCTGGGCAGCGGTTAGAGGAACGCATGGCAGGATGGGTGGGCCCAGCAGCCAGGAATTCTGCACTGGTCCTGCGGCTCCCGGTCCTTGTCCCGAAGCACTCTCCCCGCCCCGGGCACCAGAAGACAGAGCTGAGTGCATTGGGTACCTGACTGGAGCAGTTGTCCCCAGGTGTCCCGAGAAACCCAGGCCCCAGGCCCCTACAGAGCCGCCAGAATCTGGAATGGAGGCAGATGGTGAAGCACCACCCGGAAGCCCCAGCCCTGTGGGGAGCGGCCGGCCCGGCCTCCAGGGCCCTCCAGGGCCAGGCTGTGGGCTTCGAGGCAGAAGGGCTACCTCGCCGAGCTCTGCCTCCTTGGTGGTGGGGAGGGCCTCATGGCAGAGCCAGGCAGAGCAGCCCCTCCGCCGCTAACAGATGTTGTCACTCCCAGCCATGCTGCGGTGATCACCACACCTTGCTCAGAGCCTCGGAGACACCTGTGTCCTCCCTGGGCCGTAGCAGGCGCCTGACAGTGGGGACGGTCGTTGCAGTTAGGAGGGAAGCAGGAGGGGAGGTCCCAGCGGACCCCAAGCCCGCTAGGCCAGGCCTCCAGTCCTCCATTCCCAGGACCTCCACCCACAGGGACACAATGGGCCGGCCAGACTCCACCCCGTTTCACACTCACAGACGCTGAGGCTGAATGAGGCCCCCGCCCAGGCCGACAGTGGTGTGGCCAGCCAGGACGCTGCGGGGAGGAGGAGACCGGCTGTTGGGGTGACTCATGTACAGTGATCTGACTTGTATTAGCCATCGATGGCAGGGATTAATTAGGGTCAGGAGCCAAGTTTGGCCTGGAAAGTCCATCTGGCTCCTGTTGGGGCCTCCAGGCTTGGGCAGGGCCGACCAGGAGCCTCCCTCCACTGCCCGCTGCCCGCCTAGTTGGCTGCTGGTGGGGCCTGCCATGGAGGCCGGGCCCCCGTGCACTAAGCTCGGCTGGCAGCCGCCCTTCCTTTCTGAAGGGCAGGTCTGAGTGACCAGAGCAGGCCTGGGGCTTCCATTCCACCCTTGCCCTTTGGGGCAGCTGCTGAGCACCCCCTCAGTGTGTCCCTGCGGTCAGCACGGCATGTGGGGGATAACTGAGGGCCTCTGAGGCAGGAAGGAGACATCGGGGGGCAGGGACCTCAAAGAGGGCCTCACCCTGTGCCATGAGACCAGCGACTCCTGGAGCAGTCACAGAAGCCTTCCTGTAGGAGGCGAGATTCCAGTTTGTCTTTGAAGGAGTAACTTGGCGGCAGAGGGCATCTTGCTTCGGAAGGTGGAGACAGAAGGTCTAGGTGGTGTTGGGGTGTGGAGCACAGGCAGCATCCAGCCAGCACCCACCCAGGCCCTGTCACCCCCACCTCCTCCACTCCCTGCCCCACGGTGTCCTTGTCCACCCAGATCTGACGCCAGGTCCCCAAGGCATCTCTGGTCCAAAGCCTTACCCAGCGCACACCTGCCCGGCCTTCTGGAAGGCAGCTGAGTAATTCTGGGGAGAGACCTAGACTCCCCAGCTTTTCGGAAGCTGAGGTCCGGCACAGGGCCTCTCCAAGGCTCTTCAGCAGGCCCAGCCCCGTCACCTGTCTCCAGGTCCCCAGTAGCATGCTGGACACTTCCCTGGGCCGACTTTGCAAGACCACAGTGGGGCGGACACAGAGCTAGGCCTCTGCTTTACCCTGCAGGACCTCTGGGGCAGGAGGGCCACACTGACGGCCACTGAGTGGAAGCCCCACTGCTGAAGCTGGGAAGCACAGTGACCGGCTGCCCAGGGACCCCAGCTCCCCCTTGGGGAGATGCACCTGCTGTGAGGCGGGGGCAGTGCTGGGACAGCACTCAGCACTGAGGGCCCAGCAACCTTCTGGATGTCATGGGGAGGGGGCTCTGTCTCCGGGTCTCCCACCAGGGCCAGGACCTCCCTGTGGTCTCTTGGTGCAGGTTGAGGACGCCATGCTGGACACCTACGACCTGGTGTATGAGCAGGCAGTGAAAGGCACATCCCACGTCCGGTGGCAGGAGCTGGTGGCCATCCAGGACATGGTGAGCATGGGGACGGCTGGGTGGCAGGGCGGTCCGCCTCTGTGTGGACTGCAGTTCAGAGGTCAGGCACAGGTTGGCCAGCGAGCAGCCTGGCCAGGCACCAGGGGGTTCCAGGACACAGGCCACAGCTGGGGGCTGGGGACAAAAAGCTCCCATCCTCTCTCTGCCCAGGACAGGGTCACCTACCAGATTCTGGAGACCCAGTGCAGAATGAGAGGGCAGGGCCCCTTATTCAGAAACACTGAAGGATTTCAAGAATGTTCAGGCAAACACAGGGCTAGACATAGTGACTCACGCCTATAATGACAGCACTTTGGGAGGACTTTGAGGCAGGCAAATTGCTTGAGCCCAGGAGTTCAAGACCAGTGTGAGCAACACAGGGAGACCTTGTCTCTACTTAACAAAACAAGAAAGGCCGGGCGCGGTGGCTCACGCCTGTAATCCCAGCACTGTGCGAGGCCGAGGCAGGTGGATCACAAGGTCAGGAGTTCGAGACCAGCCTGACCAACATGGTGAAACCCCCTCTCTACTAAAAGTACAAAAAAATTATCATGGTGGTGCCTGCCTGTAATCCCCGCTACTCAAGAGGCTGAGGCAGGAGAATCGCTTGAACCCGGGAGGAGGAGACTGCAGTGAGCCGAGGTCACCCCACTGCACTCCAGCCTGGTAACAGAGAGAGACTCCATCTCAAAACAAAACAACAAAAAGCACACATGGCCCCTTGTGAGCAGGGCTGGGAAGCTGGCCTGGCTCCAGCAGGCGTTCCGCCCCCAGCGGGCAGGCAGTGCGGCTTGAGAGCGCTCCCTCGCCAGGCCTGGCTGTGCCGTGGCTGGAGACCCCAGCAGAAGCAGCCGTAATACCCCCGGCCCTGGGCTGCAGGGGACCCCACCTGGGTCATTTGGCCTTGTGATGCCTCAGTTTCCGCATATGTGCTGTCCGCCCTGGGGCCTCAGCACACCACCACTCCCTCCCATCTGTTCTTGTAGTTTCTGTGCTGTGGGAAGAGATCTCCTTTCAGCCGTCTGGGGAACACAGAGGCTGACCTGTGTCAGGGAGAAGAGGTGGCAAGAGAGGTGAGGGGGGCACCTGGATGCTGGCCAGGCAAGACCCTCGGGGGCTGAACACCCTGGGGCCCAACCCGAGACCCAGGGACATCCTCTCGCCCCAGCCCTCGGCCTCCCCAGACCCTTGAGACCTGCCCGCTGAAGGGCTCAGGGAAGGCTCTGCTGTGATCGGAGGCTAGTGAGTGTTCATGGGGCATGAAGCCCACCGTGTGGCCAGGCTGGGCTCAAGGCATAGACACAGGACCCTCCGCCCAGCTGGACGCAGGCCCCGTGCGCCGTTCACTCCTTCTAGCCAGTTCCAGCTGGGGGGCTTCCCAAGGCCTGCTGCATCCACAGAAGCCTCTTGGAGTGCACCCATGAGGGCTCTGTGCCAAGGGCCCGCAGGGCAGGCCTGGTCTGCTGTCTAGGGGGAAGGGTGCAGGGATCCTGGGGGGCATCAGGAGGAGTGGAAGGGCGCTCGGAGGAGGAGAACGAGGCTGGAGGGTCAGCGTAGGCCAGGGTGTGGCCAAGGCTTCAGCAGCAGCAGAGCCAGAGCGGGCCTAGGCCAGGAAGTCCTTCCTTCCCAGGGCCCTGGGAGAGATGGGGCCCTCCCCTCCCTCTCCTGGTGCCCAGCAACCCTCCCCCATCCCGCCCTGCCCCCTCCCTGCTTCCCTCTCCTACTGTCCTGGAAACAGACCCACCCTATCTCACGGTGGGAGGTGCCTGGCGACCCTCCAAGAAACAGAGGGGAGGAGAGCAAATGGCTGGAGGCTTGGCAAGGGGTGGAGCCACAGCCCAGGCCGGTGCTGGGGATGGCGCTGGGGAGGCACCAGCAGCAGCAAGGGCAGGACTGACAGTTGGGAGCCCTGTGCCACCCAAGGAGAAGCCCCAGGGCCCGACTGAAAAACAGTGATTGCCTTGAGCACCCCGGGATGCCAGGAACCATGGGCCCGACTTTGAAGCCTCCTGGGGAGCCAGAAGAGCCAGCACAGGCAGTGGGCACAGAGCCACCCAGATGGGCGGCCATGGGCAGGAGGCTGAGCCCTGAGACCCTGCGGAAGCCTCCAAAGCCTGCCCCAGTTGTCACCATCTCCAGGATTCAGAGACACGCCTGCCACCTCCCTTTTCTGGAAAGATGCCTCTGGGTGCCATGCCCTGGGGTGGCACTGGAAGCCCAGGATGGAATCAGGACCCGGGGACCGTGTGGGAGCCCCCATATCCCTCTACCCGCTGGCTTCCTGCCCTCCCTGTTAGCCAGCTCCCTCTCTGGTCACCAAGGCGCTGGACGCTGGGAACCCAGAGTGAGTCAGAAGCAGCCCAGCCCAGGGGAGCCAACGTGTGGCCCAACAGGGACACTCAGGACAGATGGGAGACGGCACCTGCTGGGCCCAGGGCAGTGCCTGGGTGCCCACAGAGGCCAATCCAGTCCCACTGGGCTTCAGCTGTTTGTGCTGCCTTTCCCTAGAACTCACTGGGAATGGGCTGCACCCCACTTCCCTGCTGCCCTGGCATTGGCCTGGGTGGGTGCTGCAGTTCCGTGCCCCAAACAGTCCACTCGCCCAGGCAGGGAGGGCTGGTCAGGGCGGGTGCCATGCCTGCTGCCCTCTCACAGGACTGCCTGCAGGGCATCCGGAGGTTCCTGAGGACACACCAGCAGGTCACCTCTAGCCTGACCACCATCGGTCTAGCCTTCACGGTAGGCCCTCTCTGCCCTCTCCGCCCTCACCTCCCTCACCACCGCTTCCTCCCTCACCTCCCTCACTGCCCCTCCCTCCCTCACCTCCCTCACTGCCCCTTCCCCCTCACCTCCCTCACTGCCCCTTCCCCCCTCACCTCCCTCACCGCCCTCACCTCCCTCACCTCCCTCACCGCCCTCACCGCCCTCACCACCCCAACCCCTCACCTCCCTCACCGCCCCTTCCCCCCATCTTCCTCACCTCCCTCACCACCCCTAACCCCTCACCTCCCTCACCGCCCCTTCCCCCCCATCTTCCTCACCTCCCTCACTGCCCTCACCGCCCCTTCCCCCTCATTCCCTCACCACCCTCACCTCCCTCACCACCCTCACCGCCCCTTCCTCCCTCACCTCCCTCACTGCCCCTTCCCCCTCACCTCCCTCACTGCCCCTTCCCCCCTCACCGCCCCTTCCCCTTCACCTCCCTCACCTCCCTCACCACCCTCACCTCCCTCACCTCCCTCACTGCCCTCACCACCCCTTCTCCCTCACCTCCCTCACTGCCCTCACCACCCCTTCTCCCTCACCTCCCTCACTGCCCCTTCCCACCTTCTACCCTTCCACCTGCCTAGCCCCCAACTCAGGTAGAAGGGGGATCCAGGACAGCATCTCTGGTCTTGGGCCTCACTGCCCGACACCCTCAGGGAGGTGCTCCCATGTGACGGTGCCTGACCTCAGGGATCCTGACCTCAGGGAGGTGGTTCCATGTGACAGTGCCTGACCTCAGGGATCCTGACCTCAGGGAGGTGGTTCCATGTGACGGTGCCTGACCTCAGGGATCCTGACCTCAGGGAGGTGGTTCCATGTGACGGTGCCTGACCTCAGGGATCCTGACCTCAGGGAGGCGGTCCCACGTGACAGTGCCTGACCTCAGGGATCCTGACCTCAGGGAGGCGGTCCCATGTGACAGTGCCTGACCTCAGGAGGCGGTCCCACATGACGGTGCCTGACCTCAGGAGGCGGTCCCACATGACGGTGCCTGACCTCAGGAGGCGGTCCCACGTGACAGTGCCTGACCTCAGGGATCCTGACCTCAGGAGGCAGTCCCACATGACGGTGCCTGACCTCAGGGATCCTGACCTCAGGGAGGCGGTCCCATGTGACAGTGCCTGACCTCAGGAGGCGGTCCCACATGACGGTGCCTGACCTCAGGGATCCTGACCTCAGGGAGGCGGTCCCATGTGACAGTGCCTGACCTCAGGAGGCGGTCCCACATGACGGTGCCTGACCTCAGGAGGCGGTCCCACGTGACAGTGCCTGACCTCAGGGATCCTGACCTCAGGAGGCAGTCCCACATGACGGTGCCTGACCTCAGGGATCCTGACCTCAGGAGGCGGTCTCGTGTGATGGTGCCTGACCTCAGGGATCCTGACCTCAGGGAGGTGGTCCCGTGTGACAGTGCCTGACCTCAGGGATCCTGACCTCAGGAGGCGGTCTCGTGTGATGGTGCCTGACCTCAGGGATCCTGACCTCAGGGAGGTGGTCCCATATGACGGTGCCTGACCTCAGGGAGGCGGTCCCATGTGACAGTGCCTGACCTCAGGAGGCGGTCCCACATGACGGTTCCTGTCCTCGGGAGGTGGTCCGATGTGACAGTGCCTGCCTCCTGCAGCTGGGCCACTCCCCACACAGCAGAATCCTAATGCTTCCTGGGGAGGGGCACCCCCACCTTGGAGCAGTGGGGATGGGCACCCCCACCCTGGAGCAGAGGTGCAGCCATGGACATCTCCCTCCCAGGTGCACGCCTTACTCCTCAGCTCCTTCCTGTGGTTTGCCATCCGCTCTGGCCGCAGCTTGGATCGCAAGGGCAAATACATCATGGCCCCACGGTAGGGCCCCCTGCCTGCACCCACCCTCTCCAGAAGGGTCCTCCAGCTCTGCCCCAGAGGCTTCTGCTCTGCCAGTAGCTGGGAGGAAGCCCCAGACCAGGCAACAGGCTGATGCTGTAGAGGAAACGCTTTGGGGTGGCTGAGTGCCAGGGTGGGTGGGAGGCCGGGAGAGTTGCCAGACCCAATGCACTGCATCCCACGGGCTGCATGGAGACCCCCCACTTTGCTTGCCACCAGGCCTCACAAAGACCTGGAGATGGATGCTTCTAGGCCCCCAGATTACAGCCCCAGGCCAGGGGCTCTGTGCTTGAATACCCCAGAGCTCCTGAGGCTTACAGGGCAGGGAGGGCCCAACTGGCGGCCAGCCAGTTCTTCCTGCCCTGATGGAGTCTGGCCTGTCTCTGCCTGCCATGCCTGTTAACCCACCCACTCGTTCTTCCTGGCCATCCAAGACCCCGTCCCTGGCTCCTCGACATTCTACAACAGCCTCACAGTCCCCATAGAACATTCCACAGCAGCTCCGTAATCCTCTCTAGAACATTCCACAATAGCGTCGCAGTCCCCTCTAGAACACTACACCACAGTCTCATGATCCCCTTGCTCCTCAGAGCATGTGGCCACCAGCCCCAGGAGCCCAGCCTCTTCAGACACTCCCAGGGTAGAGCTGCAAGCTATCCCCACTCTGAAGCAGATGCTGTTGGTCCAAGAGGATGCTCAGGCCATCTTCAGTGGCTCCAGGACAAGGATGCTGTGCCTCGGCCCCTGTCCTGCCACCTGCCTGCCCACAGAAGTGAAGATGCCCCTACTGTCAGCCGTCATGGGAGGGTTCAAGCTGTGAGCAGGGGAGGGAGTGAGAGCCCCGCCAGAGAGCCAGGCTCCACTGGGAACAGATGGAAGGGTAAGGGGTGTTTCACCAAATCCCTCCGTGGGAATGGGCTAGGTGCAAGCACAGAGGAGGCCACCCTGGAGGGAGCAGCCCAGGGCAGCCTGCGAGACCCTTGTGGTCCACGCCCTGGAGGGCTCTACCCAGACAGAAGCCGCGCTGGTTTTCCATGCTGTGTAAGAAGCAGCACCCATTTATGATCTTGCAGTTCTCCAGGGCAGAGGTCCCGGTGGGCTCAGGGGGCGCCCCGTGCGGGGTCTCTCAGGCTGATGTCAGGCCCTGGTGGGCTGCGCTGTCACCTGGAGGCTCCAGGGACACGTCTGCCTACAGGACCATTCAGGCTGTTGACAAGTCAACTCCTCACGGCTGTAGGACTGAGGTTCCCACGTCCTGCTCCTGTGGCCCCTCCACCTTCAAACCAGCAATGGCACGCGGAGTAGACTGCCGTCAAACGTACATCACATAGAATTCGCCATCTGAACCATTTTTTAAGTGTCATTAAATACGTGCACGTTGCTGTGCAGCCATCACCATGATCCATCTCCAGAACTGTCCATCTCCTCAAGGTGAACATCTGGCCCCAGCAAACACCAACTCCCATCCTCTGCCCCGGTCTCCGGCACCCAGCAGCCACTTTCTGTCTCTACGGATCCAGCTGCTCCAGGGGCCTGGCATCGTGGGGTCACACAAGATGTTCCTTTTTACTGCTATGTCCATAGGTTCACCCGTGGTGTAGCCTGTGTCCGAGTTCTTGAAAGAGAAATCTTATCGGCTTTCCCACGTGGTCCAGCGATTAAGGCAGGACACCTAGTGGGTAACAGCTCAGATATTCTGCCTGCCACCCCCACTCTCACTGGACTTTCAGACCTTGTCTCTAATGGTCCCTGAATGTTTGCATAATTTGCTCAACATGCTAAGTCCTGGGTGGAGCGCCACGTTGGCCCAGCCTAGGCCAAGGCCCTAGCGATGCTGACAGAAGAGGACGGTCAGAGCCCTTTCGAACTTCCATAGCGGGCGTGTGGCCCCATCCCCCACCAAGACCAGCCAAGGCGGATTCCCCCCAAATAAGAACGATCCTATGATGAGCGGCCAGAGTGACAAATGCCAGCTACGGTCCACCCTATCTCTCCAGTGACACCCACACACCCCTCCGGGAATGAGAACACTCCCACGTAACACACCGTGCTCCTTCCACTGAAAGCGCACAGGCCTGGTCGCCAAAGGTGGACGCCAAAGGTCTCATGGGTTCCACACCCGGTGACAACCCAGGGTCTCTGGTGGTGGGCGTTCCCGCTGGCTCCGTCCTGGTCGCGTCGCTGTTCTGCAGCCAATGGGTTTAGTGTGAAAGGCGGCACCAACACACCCAACGCACAGTCTCAGCAGAAAGAGAAGGGAGGGGGGAAGCTGAGTTCAGTTCTGGTGACGTTTAGACAGCATGACAATAACAGAAACGTTGCCAGAGCTCTGGGTGGCTCATCTCTGCAGCTGGCCATGAGACGGGGATGTGTGTTCATGGCTCACGCTCTTCACAGCATGTTTGCTCAGCCCGGCAGCCCAGTTCTTCACTCCCCCAGGGTCTGAGTCCTGCACTTTGCTCATGTGGGTGTCTACCAATTTCATCTCCAACCACGGGAGGATGGGAAGACACCCGGGACCCCCTGCCAACATCACATCTCTGCTTCTTCTTGTTACGGCCACCTCGCTATTCCCAAGGACCCCGTTAAGGCTTCTTAATCCACGTGGCACCCACAACTTTCAGCTCCATCATACCATGATTTATTCTCTGACCAAAGCACTCTCTGTTAGTTACTGAAATCTCCAAACCAAGCCAGGCATGGTGGGCTCACACCTGGAATCCCAACACTTTGGGAGGCCAAGGCAGGAGGACTGGAGGCAGCAGCCCAGCGCACACAGGACACCCATGGTCCATGCCTTGGAGGGCTCCACCCAGACACAGGCTGCGCTGGTTTTCTCAGCTACGTAAGAGCAGCATAGATCAAGCAGTGTGTGCCTTCATGGCGTGTTCATTCCTAACATCCCGACGCTTTGGGAGGCCGGGGCAGGAGGACTGCTTGAAGCTGGGAGCTCAAGACCAGTCTGGGCAACACAGCAGGATCTTGTTTCTACAACAAAGACAGAAAGGAAATATTAGCCAGGCATGGTGGTGAACACCTGTGGTCACAGCTACTCAGAGGCTGAGGTGGGAGGATCTCTTGAGCCCAGGAGGTAGAGGCTGTGATCACAGCCCTGAACTCCAGCCTGGGTGGCAGAATGAGACCCTGTCTCAAAATATAAACAAATAGGCCAGGTGTGGTGGCTCATGCCTGTAATCCTAGCACTTTGGGAGGCTGTGGGAAATAGAAAAGTTCCTCTTTAAAGTTTCCTCTCTCGATAAAGAATCAGTGTGCCAATAACTTTGTGAAGCCCTATCCTATGTAGCTGTTAGACACGCCGCGCTTACAGGCACTTGGTACATTCTACGTCCTTGTACCTTCACCAAGGTATCTGTGCTGGATGTGCTCACAGGCATGTCCCAGCTCTCCATTGCTTTTACCTGTTTAGAAAAGTTTTACGTTATTAGCCAATCAGGTTTTAGTTTAGATTGTGAGGTCTGGCTCCAGCCAACTGAGATCAGAGACAGCAGTAAGGACGACCCCAAATGCGTGAGGGATAAATTTGCGTGTTTCCTTTTGTTCTTTGTACTCTCCTGGAACAGAGCCTACCAGGAGTGCCCGTCCTGCGGTCCAGGAAGTAAAAATTGCATTGCTGAAAGATCCTTTGCCTCGGTGCTGATTCTTCTTTGCAGCACCCAGCATCTACTTCCAACATAGGCCAAGGCGGGCAGATCAGTTGAGGTCAGGAGTTAGAAACCAGCCTGGCCAACATAGTGAAACCCCATCTCTACTAAAAAAAAAAAAAAAAGCCAGGTGTGGTGGCAGGTGCCTGTAATCCCAGCTACTCAGCAGGCTGAGGCAGAAGACTCCCTTGAACCCAGGAGGCAGAGGTTGCAGTCAGCCGAGATCATGCCATTTCACCTCAGCCTGGGTGACAAAAGCAAAACCCCCTCTCGAAAAAATAAATTAGAAAAAAATGAATAAATAAATAAAATACAAAAAAGGTTAGTTGGGCATAGTGGTGGGCGTCTGTAATCACAGCTACTCGGGAGGCTGAGGCAGGAGAATTGCTGTAACCCCGGAGACAGAGGGTTCAGTGAGCTGAGATTGCGCCAATGCCCTCCAGCCTGGGTGACAGAGCAAGACACAGTCTCAAAAACTATATATACATATGTACATGTGTGTATTTATATGTATATATAGGCTTATATACATATATATGCAATGTGTATATATATATGCCTACACACACACACATACACACACATACACACACACATACACACACATACACATACACAAACACACACATACACACACATACACATACACACATACACACACATACACACACATACCATACACACACATACACATACACACATACACACACATACACACATACACACATACACACACATACACGCACATATACACACATACACACACATACACACACATACACATACACACATACACACACATACACATACACACACATACACACACATACACATACACAAACACACACATACACACACACATACACATACACACATACACACACATACACACACATACACATACACACACATACACACATACACACACACATACACACACACATACACATACACACACATACACAAACACACATACACACACATACACATACACACATACACACACATACACATACACATACACACACATACACATACACACACACATACACATACACACATACACACATACACGCATACACACACATACACACACATACACACACACACGTACACATACACACATACACACACATACACACACATATACACACATACACACACATACACACATACACATACACAAACACACACATACACACATACACATACACACACATACACACACATACACATACACAAACACACACATACACACACACATACACATACACACATACACACACATACACACACATACACATACACACACATACACACATACACACACACATACACACACACATACACATACACACACATACACAAACACACATACACACACATACACATACACACATACACACACATACACATACACATACACACACATACACATACACACACACATACACATACACACATACACACATACACGCATACACACACATACACACACATACACACACACACGTACACATACACACATACACACACATACACACACATATACACACATACACACACATACACACATACACATACACAAACACACACATACACACATACACATACACACACATACACACACATACACATACACACACATACACATACACACACATACACACATACACATACACACACATACACATACACACACATACACATACACACATACACATACACACATACACATACACACACATACACACACACATACACACACATACACATACACATACACACACATACACATACACACACACATACACATACACACATACACACATACACGCATACACACACATACACACACATACACACACACACTTACACATACACACATACACACACATACACACACATATACACACATACACACACATACACACATACACATACACAAACACACACATACACACATACACATACACACACATACACACACATACACATACACACACATACACATACACACACATACACACACATACACATACACACACATACACATACACACACATACACATACACACATACACATACACACATACACATACACACATACACACATACACACACATACACACATACACACACATACACACATACACACACATACACACACATACACACACACATACACACATACACACACATACACACACACACACATAAAACTAAATAAAATAAACTAAAATAAATCTCCAGACCCGAAGAGTAAGGACTAACAGGGCCAGGAGGTGAACGCTTTGCGAATGTCTAACTGTAAGCGCTGCCCTCACTCTCACCCCCAGGCCCCTGGCCTGTGGATCCTGGTTTGGGGGTGAAGCACCAGTCACTGGGAACCAGGACCGTATGCTGTAGGACCTCCCTGCAGTCTTCCAGCGGCATCTCCCGGATGAGCTCCTAAATAATCCCGAATGGTCCTGAGAAGCCAGATCACCATCCCGCAGGGGCGGCTTCTCTGGAGGGACAGGGTACGTGGACACCCTAGTAAATCCCATGGCGTGTCCCCACTGTCCTTCAGCTGTAAAGACAATGCCGTGGCTAGAAACAGCAGCGGGTGCGGGAGCAGGCGGTAGGCTGGGAAGGAGAGCGCTGGTGCTGGCAGAAGCAGTGCCAGGGGAGGGGAGGAGGGTCCAGATCAAGAAGGGTCAAGTGCAGTCATCTTCCCCCTCATCTCATAGCCACGCGGTGCAGGGATGAAGACAGGGCAGTGAGCGGGGAGGGGAACAGGCTGGTTGAAGAACACAGCTGAAGACGTGGTCTGAATGTTTGCACGTTTGTTGAAGGTTCCAAGTCCCAGTGGAACACCAAGTTAGGCTGAGGCCCTAAGTAGGTGACAAGAGAGAAGGAATGTCAAGGCCGTTCTAGCCTCCATAGTGGGGGTGTGCCCCCCCCATGAAGTGGGAGTAGCACCAGTGAGGGGGCATCAAGCATCAGCACCATATCCTGTGGGACTTCACTGCAGTCTTGTGCTGGCATCTCCCAGCTGTGCTCCTAGATGATCCTGTCCCCCTCTGCACTAAATGTCCTGCCTTCGTCCCTGAGAAAAGCCAGACCCCCTTCACGAAGGAAGGCACCCAAAGCCAGTCAGCCCATGGCCAGGTGGCTCGGTGGTCTCCCATGAGATGTGGTGCCCTTCTGCAGGGCAGGACATCACACGATGCTGACCAGGCATCGGCTGCAGGGATGATTGGAAGAGCTTGGTAAGCTGAGTCCCTGTGGCTGGGCCACGGCGGCTCCCCTTCCCCCGATGTCTGCCTCAAGGCAGCACCATCTCCCTTGGGGCAGAGGCTGCCTGTCTGCTACAGGTTCCAAGAACCTTACTAGAGTCCAGTACCCAGTGAGCTTGACGGTAGAGAATGCCCAGCCTGTCCAGCTACAGGACTCAGCAGACAAGCAACACCCAGATCAGACTACATCTGATGCCCATGGACGGACACGAGGCCCAGGGGAAGCCAAGTGCTGTATCGCCAAGCAAGAAAAGGTCCCGACCGCAAACGGCAAACCCTGCTCCCCTCAGTGGTCGCAGGGGCCTCCGCCATGGATTGTATCAGGCTCCGAGGGCGCCTCGGTCAGCCAACACCCCAAGAGGACCTTTGGGTCCCTGGGCCACAACAATCGAGTGAGTGTCTCAGCCCACACAATAACAGGACCACATGGGCATTGTCACTGGCTGTGCCTCCTGCAGAAAGCAGGCCACCCACTGGGGCTCCTGGACACAGGGAAAGCACATACCCAAATGTGGGCTGTGTTTCCTCCAAAGAGTGCTGTGCGCCGACGACCCAGGGTGCAGGACCAGTCCTTCACCACCACGGAGTAGGCATGCCCGGCTTTGTTGGACCCCGGGGAGAACTTCAGGAGAAAGCAGGAGTCTGTTTTCGCAGGGTTTCCTTCTCACCCTGCCACACATGGTTTTGGTTAAAGCAACCTACAACTTCCTCCCCTCCAGGTCACATCAGCTCAGTGTCCTGTGGGCTGGGGAGATAATCAGGGCCAACATGGGCTAAACAATGGCTGAGATCTAGGGCATTCGTGTAATCCCGAGGCAGGTTCATGCTGCCGTCCCTCCCAGGTGAGAGCAAACCAAACCACCCTTGTGGCTTTCTACATGTTGGGATAGACGGAAAAACAACAAAAGCAGGTGTTCGCTGGCCAGACACTGTTCGTCAGCACAAAGACCTGCACTGATTTGCTCCGATTAAGAATATCTGGTGCTCCCTTCAGCAGCACATAACTAAAATTGGAGCCACACGGAGAAGGTTAGCACGGCCCCTGCACAAGGATGACACACAGATTCTGGATGTGTTCCATATTTTTTGAGCATACCTCAAAATTATAAGAGCCATACATGACAAACCCACAACCAATATCACACTGAATGGTCAAAAGCTGGAAGCATTCCCCTTGAAAACCAGCACAAGACAAGGAAGCCCTCTCACCACTCCTGTTAACGTAGTTTTGGAAGTTGTGGCCAGGGCAATCAGACAAGAGAAAGAAAGAAAGTGTATTCAGATAGGAAGGGAGGAAGTCAAACTATCTTTGTCTACAGACAACATGATCCTATATCTAGAAAACCCCATCGTCTCAGCCCAAAAGCTTCTACTTTTTTTTTTGAGACAGAGTTTCGCTCTTGTTACCCAGGCTGGAGTGCAATGGCGCGATCTCGGCTCACCACAACCTCCGCCTCCTGGGTTCAGGCAATTCTCCTGCCTCAGCCTCCCGAGTAGCTGAGATTACAGGCACGCGCCACCATGCCCAGCTAATTGTTTGTATTTTTAGTAGAGACGGGGTTTCACCATGTGGACCAGGATGGTCTCGATCTCTTGACCTCGTGAGCCGCCGCGCCTCGGCCTCCCAAAGTGCTGGGATTACAGGTGTGAGCCACCGGGCCCGGCCCCAAAAGCTTCTTAAGCTGCTAAGCAACATCACCAAAGTCTCAGAATACAAAACCGATGTGTAAAAACCGCTGGGGTTCCTGTACACCGACAGGCAAGCCGAGGGGACTCCCATCTGCAATTGCCACAAAAAGAATAAAACACTTAAGAATACAGGCAACGGCTCACGCCTGTAATCCCAGCACTTTGGGAGGCCGAGGTGGGTGGATCACGAGGCCAGGAGATCGAGACCATCCTGGTCCACATGGTGAAACCCCGTCTCTACTAAAAATACAAAAAAATTAGCTGGGCATGGTGGCGCGTGCCTGTAATCCCAGCTACTCAGGAGGCTGAGGCAGGAGAATTGCCTGAACCCAGGAGGCGGAGGTTGCGGTGAGCCGAGATCGCGCCATTGCACTCCAGCCTGGGTAACAAGAGCGAAACTCCGTCTCAAAAAAAAAAAAAAAAAAAAGAATACAGGTAACAAGGGAAGTGAAGGACCTCTTCAAGGAGAACTACAAACCACTGCTCAAAGAAATCAGAAAGGACACAAACAAATGGAAAAACATTCCATGTTCGTGGATAGGAAGAATCCATATCATGAAAATGGCCTCACTGCCCAAAGCAATTTACAGATTCAGTGCTTTTCCCATTACACTACCATTGACATTCTTCACATAGTTAGAAAAAAACTATTTTAAAATTCATATGGAATCAGAAAAGCCTGAACCTCCTAGGCAATCCTAAGCAAAAAAGAGCAAAACTGGAGGCATCACGCTACCCGACTTCAACTATACTACAGGGATACGATAATCAAAACACCGTGGCGCTGGTACAAAAACAGACACATAGACCAATCGAACAGAATAAAGAACACAGAAATAAAACTGCACACGTAACAACCATTTCATCTTTGACAAACCTGACAAAAATAAGCAGTGGGGAAAGGGTTCCCTATTTAGTAAGTGGTGCTGGGAGAACTGGCTAGCCATATGCAGAAAGCTGAAACTGGACCTCTTCCTTACACCACATACAAAAATCAACTCAAGATGAATTACAGATGTAAGTGTAAAACCCAAAGCTTTAAAAACCGTAGAGAAAAACCTAGGCAATACCATTCAAGACATAGGCACAGGCAAAGATTTCACCACGAAGATGCCGAAAGCAATTGCGGCAAAAGCAAAATGTGACAAATGGGATCTAATCAAACGAAAGAGCTTCCGCACAGCAGAAGGAACTATCGACAGAGTAAACAGACGACCTACAGAATGGGAGAGAAATTTTGCAACCTGTGCATCTGACACAGGTCTAATATCCAGTGTCCATAAGGAGCATAAACAAATGTACAGGAAAAAACCAAACAACTTCATTAAAAAAGTGGGCAAAGGACATGAACAGACACTTTTATTTTTTTTGAGATGGGGTTTCACCAAGTTGGCCAGGATGATCTCGATCTCTTGATCTTGTGATCCGCCTACCTTGGCCTCCCAAAGTACTGGGATTACAGGTGTGAACCACCACGCCTGACCGAGCAGACACTTCTCAAAAGACGACATATGTGAGACCAACATATAAAAAAAGCTCAACATCACTAATCATTAGAGAAATGGAAATCAAAACCACAATGAGATACTATCCCACACCAGTCAGAATGGCCATTATTAAAAAGACAAAAAAATAACAGATGCTGGGGAGGCGGTGGAGGAGAAGGAACTCTTTCACACTGCTGGTGGGAGTGTCAATTAGTTCAGCCATGGTGGAAGACAGTGTGAGAATCCCTCAGAGACCTAGAGGCAGGAACGTCCTTCTACCCAGCAATCCCATTGCTAGGCATATACTCAAAGGAATAGAAATTGTTCTGTCATAAAGACACATGCATACGTATGCTCACTGCAGCATGATTCACAATAGCCGAGACATGGAATCAACCTAAATGTTCATCAAAGGTAGACTGGATAAAGAAAATGTGGTACATACGCACCATGGAGTACTATGCAGCCATACAAAGGAATAAGGTCAGGTCCTTTGCAGGGATGTGGCTGGAGCTGGAGGCCATTATCCTCAGCAAACTAACGCAGGAACAGAAAACCAAATACCGCATGTTCTCACTTACAAGTGGGAGCTAGATGATGAGAACACAGGGACACATGGGGTGAACCACAGACACACAGTGTGGCCTGTTGTTGGGTTGGGGGGTGAGAAGAGGGAGGAGGGAGAGCATCAGGAAGAACAGCTAATGAATGGGTGCTGGGCTTAATACCTGGGCTATGGGACGATCTGTGCAGCAAACCACCGTGGCACGTGTTTCCCTGTGTAACAAACCTGTACATCCCGCCCATGCACCCCTGAACTTAAAAGTTGGAAATTTGAAAAAGAAGAATATCTGAAGCTAGGGCTGCAGTTATGTTACTACCTGATGTCAGGACCCCTCGGAGTGGGCAGTGGCTCCCGGGTTGAAGAACTCTGCTTTGATGGCGTGCACAACCAGAGGAGGAATTGCTGAATCCCTGCGTATGTGCCCGTCCATATCCACTGAACGTCACAAGGCAACCCAGCAACCCAAAGCCCTGGCAGTCCCCAGGGGGCTTGCCATGGCTGGGCCTGGGTCATCTCAAGAATGCTGTATAATGACCATCGTACAGCAAATGGCCTTTCCAGCTTACTTACCTTTTGTCACTCAGCATAATTCCCTCGAGGTCTGCCCACACTGGAGCATGTATCAATAGTTCATTCTTATGGGCTGATGCGGTGGCTCACACCTGTAATCCCAGCACTTTGGGAGGCCAAGGCGGGTGGATCATGAGGTCAAGAGATCAAGACCATCCTGGCCAACATGATGAAACCCTGTCCCTACTAAAAATACAAAAGGTATCTGGGCATGGTGGCGCATGCCTGTAGTCCCAGCTACTCAGGAGGCTGAGGTAGGAGAATCGCTGGAACTTCAGAGGCGAAGGTTGCAGGGAGCCAAGATCAAGCCACTGCACTCCAGCCTGGGTGACAGAGTGAGACTTCATCTCAAATATAAATAAATAAAAATAAAATAAACCAGACAAGAAGGTCATTATTTTTTAGAGCTGCATAGTAGTCCATGGGTGGACCTCAGTGTGTTCAACCACTTGCTTTTTAAGGGACCCTTGTTTCCAGTTTGGGGCTATTATAAGTAAAGCCACTGTGAATAGCCACGTGCAGTTGTTGTGAGTGAACATGAATTCTTATTTATTTATTTTTTTTTTTTGAGACGGAGTTTCGCTCTTGTTACCCAGGCTGGAGTGCAATGGCGCGATCTCGGCTCACCGCAACCTCCGCCTCCTGGGTTCAGGCAATTCTCCTGCCTCAGCCTCCTGAGTAGCTGGGATTACAGGCACGCACCACCATGCCCAGCTAATTTTTTGTATTTTTAGTAGAGACGGGGTTTCACCATGTTGACCAGGATGGTCTGGATCTCTTGACCTCGTGATCCACCCGCCTCGGCCTTCCAAAGTGCTGGGATTACAGGCGTGAGCCACCGTGCCCGGCCAAATTCTTCTTTCTTTTGGAGGGAACTCCAACAGTGCGACTGCTGGGCCGTGTGGCCGCTGCATGCTGAGATTTATAACCGACTGGGGCTTTAAGCAGCGTTCTCTCTCCGACATTTTAACCACCTGCTGGATCCACGCAGAGGCCCCTTTCCCTTTCCTGACATGTTTCTGTTTTGTCTGAGTCGTGAGGCTTTGCTAACTTTATCCATCTTTCCGAGGAAGCTTTGGCTCCTGGACCTCTCCATGACCACCCCTCCCCCGATGTCGTCAATGCCCACTCCGATCTTTATTATTTCCTTCCACCTGTATTACTGGGGCGATCCCATTGTCTCTAATCTAACGTTTTCACTGGGGCGCTCGGCTCATTCACTTCCAGCCTCTGTCTAACACACCTGCCGAGTCCGCGCACTTCTCCCAGCTCGGCTTCACCGTATCCCACCAGCTTTTAACACAGCTCTTTCAGTGTCGCTCACCTCTAAGTACTTTTAACTTTTCGTCACAACTTCCTCTTTGGCCTATTAGCTGCTTATTTTTGAAACAGGGTCTCACTCTGTCGCCCAGGTGTCAGAGACATCACCCAGGTGTCAGAGACAGAATGCTTGTTCTTAGGTCCTGCAAGGAAAAACTAGGATTCAGACACAGAGTCATCTCAGCAACGCAAGTTTACGTTCTTCAGGAAGGGTGCTCCCATCAGCCATCTTGCCCCGAGAGTACAATGAACCAAGGAAAGGCAGGCGTACTTATTCCTCATGCGCTGGGGTCTCACTGCTGTGTCTGATCGCCACTGGTTGGAGCCGGACATCACAGTCTAAAACTGAACCTGATTGGCTAAAAGCTCAAAACTTTTCTAAATAGGTAAAGGCAATGGAGAACAAAGGAATGAGAGGAAGTCCACATAAGGAAGGGGACAGGCTGCGAGCTGGGA